CCGGGGGCCCCGGGTATGATTGGGATTGAATCCAAAACTAATTTTGGACTTGTGCAAATGCGGAAGTTTTAGCCTTCTAGTGTCATCGCACCTGCGGAGGAATTGGGTGCAGGTGCGGACACGCAAATGCGGGAAGTTGATCGCAGAAGCGAATTGTGGCCAGCTAGGACTGCACATGCGGTTAGAGTTCCACAGAAGCGGACTCCTAGGGGCGACTGAGGAAGCGTATGTCACACCCCAACCTCGGGGAGCGAGACTGTGGAACCGGTCGAGCAAGCCTGTTAGACACTTTCTACCCAACTCGCTTATGACCAAGAGAAGGCATGTTTCCATTATTTTAACAGTGGAAGGATCATATATATATAAACATTACTAATTCATTTCATTTCATTATGCTACATCATTGTTAAGTTCCCAAAATACATACACTTTACAATTTAGTGGAACAAGAGTCCAAAACACAATATAATCTGTCTGACCTTTCTAGCACCCATACACAACCCACACAATGTCTACGGAGCATCTAAAGATACAAAAGATAGTTATGATAATGCCAGCAACAAAGCCCCGGCTATATCTCAAAACGTGATAAAAATATAAACAAGAGATACAATACATGACCCCGGGATGAAATGAAGCTCACCAAGACTGCTGAGAAGAGGATGCACCACTAGCTGCGATCAACACTGTCTGCTATGGAAGCACCTACATCCATTTAAAGATGTAGCGCCCCCGGCAAGAAAGACGTTAGTACTGTCGAATAGTACTAGTGTGTAAAACTAAAACACCATCTCAATGGAATGAACAATAATACAAGGGAAAGAAATAGTCATTAGTTAAATAAGAGCTTCAAGCAATACTAAAATATCAAGTAAGGATTCACATAAGTTTTCATGACAATTCCCGTCTTTTTAGATTGGGTAATCTTTTGTGCCATATGCTACAATCCACAATACCATCGTGTTCTTACACGGAGTCCGATCTCGACCCGATCGGCTAGGTCATCTCATTTGAGACATCAACCATATCCATCATTTCAATCAATCATTTCCAGCACAGTTACCACCATGTGTGCGGCATGGCGTCTGATCACGGCCCGATCAGCTAGGCCATCTCACTTGAGATATCATCCTTTCAATCAATCATCTCACTTCATATTTCTTCCCCTTTTTCAATACGTTGGCACGAGTGGCCTCATTTATTAAGGCATTCTTGGCACTTGGCTGTATCACAACTCAAGTTTCCCTTTTTACACATTCAATAACATTACCATCAACAACAATAAGGCATATCATGTAAGGCATTTGCACACATAAGGGAAAAGCTTGGAAAATCCTAAGCACACAGAGGCTTTTCATACAAATTGGCATAGCAACCTTTCTTCGATTCTTGACATGCATTCTTAACCTTTCTCAACACATATTCCACATTTCTAAAAACATCCTCAAATGGCATGATGACATGATAAGAATTTAGAGCAAATATAGAACATGTACCATTCATCACAACACACTAGGGCAGTCAATTCTAGTATGATCAATTTGGGGACTTACGGCAACTACACGAACACCAGGGGTCTCGATTCTAAGAAGAAGGGGGTTTAGCCATAAATACCTCAATTGAGCTCCCCTAAACTTTAAGATGTTTCGGAATATTAGCAACTTCAATATATTTTTATAATATTGCAAAATTGAACCAAAAATTAGGAAAGAAACCATGATTCTAGCTCACTTGAGCATTTTATCAAACATTATGTGTGTATTAAGGTTTCATGGCCCTTTTTATGAAAAACTACACCAACCCACACACCACTCTTTTCCATCTTTTACTCACAACCTCCCCACATACCTTAAAAACACATGCAAGTAAGGTAAGCACTCCCATCCCCATGAATTACCTTATTAATGCCCCATTCTAGCTACATTTTGAAACTAGGAGATTGGGCGATAGAACCTTACCTCTTGTGAAGAAGACCTAGGTTGCTTTCCTTGATAATCTTCAAAGTTTTAAGCAAGAATTGAGGAGTAGTTGATGAAGATCACTTTCTCACTCTAGGGCACTTTCTCCCACTCTATAGTATCAGAAAATGAGCTCAAAATAGACTATGGCATATGTTTTATTAGCATACTATCGGGTTTTAAAAATTAGAAATTAGGAGCCCGACACAGATCTGCGATCGCATATGCGACAGCATAATGCATCTGCGGTTCGCAAAATGGGCCACACAATGGCCCTCTGGAACTTGGATGTTATGCTTCGGTCTGCGACTAGTCTGCGGTCCGCAGACCTGTTATGCAGTCGCATAATGTGCCGCAGAACAACCATTTGGGAAATCCCGAGGCTGGATATGCGATCAAAGTACGGCCCGCGAAATAGTTCTACGGTTGCATAATGGGCCGCAAAAGTGACATAAAAAATGGCCCAATGACTGCCTCACTCTGCGGCCATTATGCGGCCCGCAGAGTGATTCTGCGACCGCATAGTGGGCCACATAAGTACCTTAACACATAAGCCTAACTCGTCACCACGATATTCCAATTTTTAAAGAAAAATTTTACAGGGCCTTACAGCGTAGAAGCGGAAAGGCTAGCCAAGCCCTCGGTCGCAGAAGTGGAACCCCTTCCGCAAGAGCGAGAGCGCAGATGCGCATTTTGGTCCGCAGAAGCGGAGGTTGCTGGGCTAAGTGAGAACTGCACCTGTGATGGGAATTCCGCATGTGTGGAGCCGCAGATGCGGCTGTGGGTTCACAGATGCGAATTCACTAGGCAGAAAAGGCCTAATTTAGAGGGTTTGATTTCACTTTGATTTTTGGACCTAGAGAGCTCGGTTTGTGGCGATTTTTCTAGAGTTTTCAAGGAAATCATTGGGGTATGACATTCTAACTCGGTTTTCGCTATATTACACGAATCTATTGTTGTTTTCATCATTTAAGTAGTGTTTTTAGTTGGAAATTTTGGGAAAAATTGGGAAAACTTCTTAGGCAAAGATTTGGGGATTTGAAAGACGATTTGAGGTCGGATTTGAGTATTTCTTGTATGGTTGGACTCGATATCGAATGGGTGTTTGGAATTTAAATTTTTTTTCGCGTTCTGAGACATGGGCCCGGGTCGACTTTTTGGAGCGATTTTTTAATTCTTTGCTAAATTCGTAATGTCATTATTCAAATTAGTTTCTTATAGTTATACTTATAGTATGAAATTGTTTTCGCTAGATTCGAGCTGATCGAAGTTGGAAAGTCGATGGAAAGGCCTTCTTATTGATTGATTGAGCGAGGTTTGAGGTAAGTGACTTGTCTAACCTTGTGAGGAGAAATTCCCCTTAGGATTTGGTACTGTTATGGTAATTTCCAGTAAGTGAAGGCCGTGTACGCGAGGTTACGAGTGCGTACTTGGGCTAAATGTTGAAAATCCGGTTTTTGCTAAGTAGTTTCATTTTATTTCCTTAATTGAGACTCTAGTATGTGTAGTCATCATGTTTAGCCTGATTCCACATTTCTATGTGTCTTATATCTTATTTATAATTTTTACAACATGCTTAGTTGAATTACTTGCTTCCTTTATTCCGTATTCATTATTTAACTGTAGGATTCCTTGCTTGTAATATCATCGTTTCATTTGTTGTGTGTTGTTTTCGTGATTTTTTTTAGATAACTATTTGGTGGTGGCACGAGGTTTCTACCATGCGGATTGTTATTATGGCACGAGATTTCTATCATGCGGATTGTTATTGTGGCATGAGGTTTCTACCGTGTGGATTGTTATTATGGCACGAGATTTTTGCCGTGCGGATTGTTATTATGGCACGAGGTTTCTGCCATGCGGTTAATATTGTTAGCACGAGGTTTTTGTCGTGCCATTGTGAGATATTTACTTTTGAGACTACGAGGCGGTACCTTGGGAGTACCCCTGTTGATTTCCTCTATTTACTGTGTTGTTTGTTGATGTTGTTGTTAATTAACTTGTAAGATTCTTGTTTCCTTACGTGTTGTAATTATCTTCTTTGATACCATGTTGTTACAATTCTCTGTCAGTTCATTATATCATTAAATCTGCTGCCTTGTATCATATTAATTCTAGTAAGGCCCTGACCTGACCTCGTCATTACTCTACCGAGGTTAGGCTTGGCACTTACTGAGTACCGTTGTGGTGTACTCATACTACGCTTCTGCACATCTTTTTGTGCAGATCCAAGTACTTCCTATCAGACCATGTATCAGTGAGCTAGTCCGTGCGTGGAGACTTCAAGGTGTATCTGCCAGCATCCGCAGACCTCGGAGGCCCCCTTTATCTTTATTATGTTGTTTCCTTATCCTCTTTAAACTCTAATGTATAGAGATATTTAGTATTTCTCTTTAGAGCTTGTGACTTATATTTACTGGGTTTCGGGAGTTGTTTATACTTGAGTTGCAGATGTTATTTATTACAGTTGTTGACGTTTTGAGTTTTAGCTTAATATTTAGGCCATTCTGCATACTTGTTAGGCTTACCTAGTCTTAGAGACTAGGTGCCGTCACGACATCCTACGGAGGGAAATTTGGGGTCGTGACAGAGATTCACCAAGACCTTAGGTACTGTAGGCGTTTTAAGGTTGAGGAGGTCGTGGGTGCTATGAGCAAGATGTGTAAGGGCAGAGCTATCGGGCCAGATGAGATTTCTGTAGAATTAGTGGAGTTGTGTGGGTAAAGCAAGCTTGGAATGGCTGACGACACTATTTAATATTATTTTCAAGATGAAGAGAATGCCAGATGAATTAAGGTGGAGCACGGTTATACTGCTGTACAAGAACAAAGGTGATATCCAGAGCTGCAACAACTATAGGGGTATCAAGTTACTAAGTCATACCATGAAAGTTTGGGAGAGGGTGGTGGAAGGAAGGGTGAGGAGGGCGGTGTCTATATTAGAAAACCAATTCGAGTTCATGTTGGGTCGTTCGACTACGGAAGCTATCCACCTTATAGGAAGTTGGTGGAACAGTACAGGGAAAGGAAGAAGGATTTGCACATGGTATTTATTGACCTTGAGAAAGCTTATGACAAGGTTCCTATGGAGGTTCTTTGGAGATGCCTGGAGGTGAAAGTTCTGCCGATAGCTTACATTAGGGCGATAAAGCATATGTATTATGAAGCTAAGACTCGGTTTAGGACTGTGGGTGGTGACTCGGAGCATTTTTTGGTTGTTATGGGTTTGCACCAAAGATCTGCACTCAGCCCGTTCTTATTTGTCCCGGCGATGGATGCACTCACATACCATATTCAAGGGGAGGTGTCATGGTGTATGTTGTTCGCTGATGATATAGTTCTAATTGATGAGATGCGAGGAGGCGTTAACGAGAGGCTAGATGATTGAAGACAGACCCTTGAGTCTAAAGGTTTCAAGTTGAGTAGGACTAAGACAGAATATCTAGAGCGCAGTTCAAGGACATGATGGGGGAAGCAAACTTGGACGTGAGGCTTGACTCACAAGTCATCCCCAAGAGAGGAAGTTTCAAGTACCTTGGGTAAATTATCTAGGGGGTGTTGAGATAAACAAGGATACCACTCATCGTATAGGGGTGGGGTGGATGAAATGGAGGTTTGCGTATGGAGTCCTATGTGACAAGAATGTTCCACCGAAACTTAAGTGCAAGTTCTATAAAATGGTGTTAGACCGGCCATGTTATATAGAGCTGAGTATTGGCCAGTCAAGAATTCTCATATCTAGAAGATGGGCATGGCTCCCATAGACGACAAGATGTGGGAAGCGAGTCTTAGATGGTTCAGACATGTGCGGAGGAGAAGCCATGATGCCCCGGTTAGGAGGTGTGAGCGGTTGGCTTTGGCGGGTATGAGAATAGGTGGCAGCTTAAGAATTATTAAGGTGAGATGATCAGGCAGGACATCACGCGGCTTCATATTTTCATGGACATGGCTCTTGATAGGAAGGTGTGGAGATCGAGCATTAGGGTTGAAGGTTAGGAAGGAGTCAAGCATTTTTCTCCTTCATTCCGGGGGTAGGGCTAGTTTGTTACGGTATTGTCCTGGACTACTAGTGGTGTATGTTGTATCCATACTATTTTCCATTTTTTTCATATTATATTGGCATTATTACTGGTGTTTTTCTTCAACACTTGCCATCAACACCTTTTTATCGCCTTGTTTGATGCTTCATCCATGAAATTTCCTTTCCGTCTTACATCTAATGTTGTTAATCATGCTTTAAAATATAGAAGGAGACATTTGTGTGTGATTCTTGATGATAAAGAATCCTTAATTATTTGGGTTTTTAACTTTAGTATGTGCTTGGATAGTTTTGGTAAGTCTATGATTAATGGCTAGAGGTTGGTAAGTTAGAACTTATTTGAGACATTTCCGTAAGATTCCCAAATATATATATCGGTTTATATGAAATGTACAAAAATCCTTATCGAAATGTCATTATCCCTTATTGAAAAATAGAGTTCACATTAGACAAAAAAGTAATTTTATTATTTATTAATATTTAGGACTTTAAAATCAACTAAAATTTTGATTATTAAATCTTTCTTCGTTTGTACTAGGTAGAAGATCCTAATATTTTCAACGTTAAAATTAAGTAAAATTTAACCTTATATATAACAGTCAAGCCCATTAGTGATATATATTGTCTTCTATGGGCTTAGGCTCACACAGTTTTAAAACGAGTCTCTAGGGTCTAAGTTATGTTTTCTCATATACACAGCATCTCTCTCATGTTTTATCGATCTGGAATTCGCTTGGGGTGTTACATATACTGCCTCGGGGACTAAGCATCCTCCGTGAGATTGTCCCAATATCGTTCAAGGTTGCAAACGGAGTGACTCTGATGCCATATGGAACAGATCAGCCCACTTGTGATATTATCCACTTTAGGTCTAAGCACGTACGACTTTGAAATACGTCACTAGGGTCTAAGTCTTGCTTCCTTATATTCCCATCATCTCTCTCGTGTTTTGTCAATGTGGAATTCACCTGGGATTGATGTCACATAAATCTCACGTTGTAACAACCCGATCGGTCGTTTTGTGTAATTATGCCCAGTTACCCCTTTTATTGCTTCACATATGTGAGTTTATACTTTTATGACTTGCGAGGTTGATTAGCTTCATTTCGGGAGGCTTTCGGGTTGATTTGGGCCATTGATTCTAGACTGAGAAGCTTTAATTTGAAAATATTGACCAAACTGTTACTTTTGTGAAAATGACCCCGGAACTGTATTTATATGACTCCCATAACTTCGTATTGTGATTTCAGACTTGGGCTATGCCCAGAATTTATTTTGAAAGTCTGTAGGTTGATTTGTGTTGATTTGCCGAAATTCGGTAATTTTAAGTTGAAAAGTTTGACTGTAGGTTGACTTTTAGCTATTGAGCTTGGAAATTAATTTTGGAACTTGGAATAGGTCTGTTATGACATTTAGAAATTTTCGGAAAAATGTGGCATCATTCGGGTTGAATTGATAGGAATCGAACGCGTAGTTGTAATTTTAGAAGTTCTTGAAATTCTTTTTGAAAATCATGCATTTTAGAGTCCAATTCGTAGTTTTAGATGTTATTTTCGAAGGGTTCTGGGATGGGCTAGGTTCTGGGATGGGCTAGGTTCGCAGTTGCGATGTTTTTATCACAATTGCGAGGGCAACAGTGATCGCAAATGCAATCCAACATTCGCATTCGCGAAGAGTCCCTCAAGCTTTCAGTGTCGTAATTGTGAGTCTTTGTTCGAAATTGCAAACCTATGTCGCAATTGCAATATCTGCAACTGATCAAATAATTGGGAGACATGATATTTGAGTTCATTCTCTCATTTTTGAACCCTAGACTCCGTAGGAGACGATTTGGAGAGAAGATTTTCACCTACAAACCTTGGGTATGTGACTCTAATCTATTTCTAATATCAAAATCATGTGAATCAAAGTAGAAATTTGTGAAACTTTGTCAAGTCTTTGAAAAATATGAAATTGAGTTTAGAGAGTCGATCTGGACTTGAATTTGGAAATAAATCACATATATGAACTCGTGGGGTCATGAGTAGACGGAATCTACCATTGGACCCGGGTTTCGACCAGGCAGGCCCTGGATTGACTTTTGTTGACTTTTTGGGAAAAAGTAGAAATCTTAACTTTATCTATCGCAATTGAATTCCCTAGAATTGTTTGATGTTATTGAGTCTATTTTGGTTAGATTTGAGCCGCGTGGAGGCGGACATAAAGGGAAAGCTATTTTAGAGTTATGAATTGGCCTATTTGATGTAAGTATCTTACCTAACTTTGTGTGGGGGAACTACCCCTCAGGATTGGTATTGTTTGATTCATTTATGCTAATTGAAATCCGTGTACGCAAGGTGACGAGTGGGTATAGGGGCTGCACGTAGTATTTGACCGGTTTAGGCTACTTAGACTATTTCCATACTTTAATTGAAATGCCATATTATGTTCTAAATTTTCATAGTTAAATCATCCTTAATTGTGTTAGACTATCCTTAAATGTCGTAGTTGACTTGTTTAGTAATTGTTCTACATCCCACTTGCCAAATTGCTCCCATGCTTTAGTTGAACTTATTGTCCCCTTTATTGTCACACGTTATCTCTTCAGTGTTAATTATCATCGTTGAATTAATCGTTCATGTTGCCCCTTTACTTGTTGACTTCCGTTATTTGATACTCATTGTTGAAGATTATTTCCTTAATGTGAGTTAGTTTTATCCATTATCGTGGTTACATGTTGCTTTTCTCATTGTTGAGTTATTTGATGTTGAGGTTGTGGAAGTTGTTAAAACATTGAGGCGATGTTGGTTATTGTTGAAACATCTATCATATTGAGCATTTTTCCATCCATTATTGTTGTTGATAATCTCGTATACGTTGTGTTGGAGCCATGGGCTATTGTTGTGGAACATTGATATTGTTGTTGTTCGCAAGTTGTGATGTGTGGGAACTTGTGGTGCGGGTTGTTATTGTGATATGATATCGATGCGCATGTTGCGGTATAAGGCTTGGGTTGATGTGCATGCGGCGGTATAACGTGGGAGTTATGTGCGTGTTGTTTGTAGGAGACCTACGTGAAGCCATGCGGCGTCATAAGGTGGGCTAAAGTGCGTGTAGCTATTTCGGGAAAACTATTTTTAAAACCTATTTTCTAATGTAAGACTTACGCGGAGACATAAGGAAGTATTGTGATTGAAATTGAGAAATGTGAATACGAGGCGGTACCTTGGTTGTTATTATTGATTATACGAGGCGGTACCTCGGTTTGATTTTATTATACAAGAGGCGGTACCTCGTTGTGTTTCTTGCTGTTATTTCATGTTGCAAGTGTCGTGGAAGGAATACTTCTTATTGCTCCATTCATTATCATCCTAGTAGGTATAGTCCATACATGACATTTGTATCACTTTGGTTATTTCTTTCATGCCATTTCTACTGTTGATTTTCCTGGTTTTAGATCATGCTATTATCTTGTTCAGTATTATTTGTTTCTTACTTCCTATTTTATATCTTTATTTCAGTTTATACTGTCTATTTCATATCCTAGTAAGTGTCTTGACCTGGGCTCATCACTACTCTACTGAGGTTAGGCTTGATACATGCTGGGTACCGTTATGGTGTACTCATACTATTCGTCTGCACATCTTTTTTTGCAGATCCAAGTACGTCAGCTTGTGCTAGTAGATAGAAAGTCTTGCTAGTTGCTTTTATTGGAGACTTCAAGATATGCCTGCTCGGCGTCCACAGGCCTCGAAGTCACCTTTCCTTATTTTCATTACTGTTGTATTTCTTTCTCGAACAGTGATGTAGTATCACTCTAGTAGCATGCTATAGAGCTTATGACTCAGTTCCACCGATTTTGGGGTGTGAAATAGTGAGGTTCTATTTACACATGGTTTTATCCATTATTTAGTCACTTTCAGTATCTTGTATTTATATATCTGTTCAGTGGTTGCTATTTGTTAGGCTTACCTAGTCGTAAAAACTAGGTGCCATCATGAACATCCTTTGGAGGGAATTTGGGGTCGTGACAAGTTGGTATCAGAGCTCTAGGTTCATAGGTGTTACGAGTCATATGCAAGTTTAGTAGAGTCCTGCGGATCGGTACGGAGACGTTGCACTTATCTTCGAGAGGCTACAGAACTGTTAGGAAAATTTTACTTCTTTGATTCTGTATCGCGCGAATTGGTTAATTTAAAAAAACTAAATCTTTGACTTTCTATTCTCTCACAGATAGTTAGTACACTCACCGTAGGATCCGACGATCAGGCACCCGCGCTCCCTACTAGAGCTGCGAGATGCCAGTGCTGGAGCAGAGACCGAGGACGAGCACATGGTGCAGCTAGAGCACCCGCCCGAGCTGCAACAGATGAGTCACCACTAGATCCAATCGGGGGTCACACACACGAGGCGCCTATTGCCACCCAGCACTTTAGGAGACCCTCGCACAGTTCATGAGCATGTTCAGCACCTTAGCTCAGGCGGGGTTGATCCCACTTGCACCAGCCACATCTCAGGATGGAGAGGAGCACAGACTCCCGCAGCCCATACCTTAGAGCAGCGGGTCTAGGTTGATCAGGTCACACCGATACAGCCCGTTGCTCCAGTTCAGCCCGTGGTTAGGGCATCAGCATCTGAGGATCAGAAGGAGGAGCTTAGGCTCTAGACGTTCAAGAAGTAGCACCCTCCTACTTTTAGTGATTTGGCTTCATTGGATGCACATTGGTTTCTTGAGGAGTGTCACTGCATTCTCTGCACTATGGGCATTGTGGAGACGAATGGGGTTGCCTTTACTACGTTCCAGCTGAAAGAAACGGCATATCAGTGGTGGCGGGCATATGAGGTGGGTAGCCCAGCCGAGGTAGCTTCACTCACATGGCATCGGTTTTTAGAGTTCTTCTTGAGAGAGTTTGTTCCTCAGACCTTTTGGATGCTTGGCGCGCGGAGTTCGAGCGGCTGAGCCAAGGTACCTGTCAGTGTCAAAGTATGTTGTCTGATTCAGTAATTTGTCCAGGCATGCACCAGCCTTAGTTGCCACAATCACGGAGCGAGCACGTTGACTTATCGAGGGGCTCAACCAAAGTATTAGATACAGCATGGTGAGGGAGTTGGAGTCAGACACTCCGTATCAGCAGGTGGTTGAGATTGCATGGAGGTTGGAGGGCATGCGAGACCGTGATAGAGAGGATAAGGAGGCCAAGAGGCCTCGTGGCATAGGGGGATTTAGTGGTGGTCACGTTGTAGCTTCAGCCTGTCATGGTAGGGGCTATGTGAGCCGCCCAATTCATTCAGCCTTTCCAGCTGCTAGTGGTGCTCTGGTTGTATCGAGGTCTCAGCTTGCACACTTTGCTCAGTCACTTTCTAGTGCACCTCCTACATGGGGTGCCTTCAGCGGCCAGTCCAGCCGACCAGGCCCGAGCTAGTCCTAGCCTCCACGTCCTCTGAGAGCTTATTTTGAGTGTGGTGACATCCACCACATGGTCACAGATTGCCCCAAACTCAGTAGGGGTGCACCTTCCCAGACTACTCAGGCTTCACCGATTCAGTCAGATCCGCAGACTTCTCAGGCCATTATTGCTGCCCCAGTTGCCGCTCTACATGCTCGGCCAGTTAGAGGTGGAGGTCGGGCAGGTAGAGGTCGCCTTAGAGGGGGAGGCCAGGCCAGATACTATGCTCCTCCTACTAGGACAGAGGCGGTTGCTTCAGACTTAATCATTATAGGTATTGTTCCGGTCTGTCCTAGAGATACATCAGTCTTATTTGATCCAGGTTCCACTTATTCCCATGTGTCATCTTACTTTGCTCGTGATTTCTTGAGTTCACCCATCTACATGTCCACACCTGTGGTAGATTCCCTTGTTGTTGATCGTGTGTATCGTTCGTGTTTGGTTGTTCTTAGTGGTTTTGAGACCAAAGCTAATTTGTTGATGTTATTTTGGGCATGGACTAAATGTTGTCCTATCATGCTATTCTTGATTGTCACACCAAGACAATGATGCTGGCTATGCCAGGTTTACCACGATTAGATTAGAGAGGTGCATTAGATTATGTTCCTAGAAGGGTTATCTCATTTCTAAAGGCGCAGCGGATGGTTAAGAAGCGGTGTGATGCGTATCTAGCATATGCGAGATATGCCAGTGTTGATACTCATACCGTCGAGTCAGTTCCGGTAGTGAGGGATTATCCAGATGTATTCTCGGCGGATCTTTTGGGCATGCTGCCTGATACGGATATCGACTTTGGTATTGATTTGTTACCGGGCACTCAGCCCATTCCTATTCCTCCATATCGTATGGCCCCACCAGAGTTGAAGGAATTAAAGGAGTAGTTGCAGGAGATGCTTGATAAGGGTTTTATTTGATCCAGTGTGTCACCTTGGGGTGCTCCGGTCTTGTTTATAAAGAAGAAGGATGGTTCTATGCACATGTGCATTGATTATCGCCAGTTGAAAAATGTTTCAGTGAAGAACATGTATCCATTGCCACATATTGATGACCCATTTGATCAGCTACAGGTTGCCAGAGTGTTCCCCAAGATCGACTTGCGTTCAGGCTATCATTAGTTGAATATTCGGGAGCCAGATATCCCGAAGACTGCCTTCAGGACTCGGTATGGCCCTTGTGAGTTCCTTGTGATGTGTTTTGGGCTGACCAACGCCCAGTATCATTCATCTTCTTGATGAACGGTGTATTCCGGCCCTATGTTGACTCATTCATCATTGTGTTTATTGACGACATTGTGTTGTACTCACGGAGCCGGGAGGATCATGAGCATCACTTGAGGACCGTGCTCCAGACCCTGAGAGAAAAGAAGTTACAAGCAAAATTTTCAAAGTGTGAATTCGGCTTGATTCGGTAGCATTTTTGGGTCATGTAGTGTCGAGTAAGTGGATCGAGGTGGATCCTCATAAAATTGAAGCAGCACAAAGTTTGCCCAGACCATCTTCGGCTATGAAGATTCAGAGTTTTCTTTGTTTGGCGGGGTATTATAGTCGATTTGTAGAGGGTTTCTCGTCTATTGAAGCACCTATGACCAGATTGAAGCAGAATAGTGCTCCATTCAGGTGGACTGAGGAGTGTGAGGAGAGCTTTCAAAAGCTCAAGACAGCTTTGACTACCACCCCAGTGTTGGTGTTGCCTTTGGGTTCGGGGTCTTATACTGTGTACCATGATGCGTCACATATTGGTCTCGGCGCGATGTTGATGTAGGATGGTAGGGTGATTGCCTACGCGTCTAGACAGCTGAAGGTGCATGAGAAGAACCATCCTGTCCATGACCTTGAGTTAGCATCTATTGTTCATGCTCCCTTGTGAGGTCTATACCGACCACCAGAGTCTAAAGCATCTGTTCAAATAGAAGGATCTTAACTTGCGGCAGCGGAGGTGGATAGAGTTGCTTAAGGACTATAATATCACCATTCTATATCATCCCAGGAAGGCCAATGTGGTGGCCGATGCCTTGAGTCGAAAGGCTGAGAGTTTGGGTAGTTTAGCATATCTACCGGTATCAGAGAGGCCATTAGCTTTGGAGGTTTAGGCCTTGGCCAACTAGTTTGTTAGATTGGATGTTTCGGAGCCGAGTCGAGTTTTGGCTTGTGTGGTTTCTCGGTCTTCTCTATATGATCGCATCAGAGAGAGTCACTATGATGACCCCCATCTGCTTTTCCTCATAGACACGGTTCTGCGTGGCAATGCCAAGGAGGTCATTATTGGGGATGACGGTGTGTAACAGATGCAGGGAAGGCTATGTGTGCCCAATGTAGATGGCTTGCGTGAGTTGATTCTCCAAGAGGCTCACAGTTCGCTGTACTCCATTCATACGGGTGCCGCCAAGATGTACCAGGACTTGAGGCAGCACTATTGGTGGAGGCGGATGAATAAGGACATAGTGGAATATGTATCTCGGTGCCTAAACTGCCAGCAGGTGAAGTATGAGCATCAGCAGCCTAGTGGATTTCTTTAGAGGTTAGAGATCCCAGAGTGGAAATGGGAGCGGATTACTATGGATTCTGCTGTTGGGCTCCCACGGACTCAAAGGAAGTTCGATGCAGTTTGGGTGATTGTTGATAGGTTGACCAAGTCAACTCACTTTATATTCGCGAGATTGTCAGGCTTCATGGCGTGCCGGTATCTATCATCTCTGACCGGGGTATGCAATTTACATCGCAATTCTAGAGGGCTGTTCAGCATGAGTTAGGCACGCGGGTGGAGTTGAGTACAACATTTCACCCCAGACGGACAGTCAGTACGAGCGTACTATTCAGATATTGGAGGATATGCTTCGTGCATGTGTTACGTATTTCAGGGGTTCTTAGGATCAGTTTTTGCCGCTCGCGGAGTTTGCCTACAACAACAACTACCAGTCTAGCATTCAGATGGTCGCCTATGAGGCACTATACGGGAGGCGGTGCCATTCGCCAGTCGGATGGTTCGAGCCAGGGGAGTTTCGTTTGTAGGGTACGAATTTAGTACAGAATGCCTTGGACAAGGTGAAGCTTATTCAGGATCGACTTCGCACCGCTCAGTCTAGGAAAAAGAGTTATACCGATCGTAGAGTTCGTGATGTTGCATTCATGGTTGGGGAGCATGTCTTACTCCGGGTTTCGCCTATGAAGGGTGTTATGAGATTTGGAAAGAAGGGCAAGTTGAGCCCTAAGTATATCGGACCTTTTGAGATTCTTGAGAGGATTGGAGAGGTGGCCTACAAGCTCACCTTGCCACCTAGTTTATCAGCAGTCCATCCAGTATTCCATGTGTCCATGCTCCGGAAGTATCACGGTGATCCATCTCATGTGTTAGACTTCGGCTTTGTCTAGTTGGACAAGGATTTGTTTAGTATTGAGGAGCTGGTGGCCATCGTGGACCGGCATATCCGAAAGTTGAGGTCAAAGGATATTGCTTCTGTGAAGGTTCAATGGAGGGGTCATCCGGTCGAGGAGACGACATGGGAGACCGAGCACGAAATGCGGAGTTGTTATCCTCATTTATTCACAAGTTCAAGTATGTCCTTATGCACTTTCTAGGACGGACGTTTATTTTAAGAGGGGGAAAATGTAACAACCCGATCGATCATTTTGTGTAATTGCACCATGTTACCCCTTTTATGGCTTCACATATGTGAGTTTATGCTTTTATGACTTGCGAGGTTGATTAGTTTCGTTCTGGGAGGCTTTCGAGTTGAATTGGACCATTGATTCTAGACTTAGAAACTTTAATTTGAAAATATTGACCAAACTCTAACTTTTGTGAAAACGACTCCGGAACTGTGCTTTTATGACTCCAATGGCTTCGTATCGTGATTTCGGACTTGGGCGTATGCCCGAAATTATTTCGAAAGTCCGTAGGTTAATTTGTGTTGATTTGCCGAAATTCGGTAATTTTAAGTTGAAAAGTTTGACCGTAGGTTGAATTTTAGCTATTGAACTCGAAAATTGATTTTGGGACTTGGAAAGGTCTGTT